ACGACCGCACAAGAGGTCAGCTGCGCGGGACGACCTCTTCTTCCTTACCTCCCTCCCTCCCTTCCTCATCCCCCCGCGGTGCTCTACGCCACAAGCCGCGCCGCTAGGTACCGGTCGCCCCCTGACCGTTCCGTTGAAGGTGAAGAGACCTGCCGATCGAAATTGGACTCAGCGGAGAATTGACGTTAATTCTGCCGCAGAAATATTAGCGATTACGAAGAACGCTCAATATGCCCGCACCTTGTTTCACCAATTTTATCGCTCGCCTCCTATCCGTCTGATTGAAGATGAAGATTTCTCGATTGCCATTGGAAACAATTGATATTAATTCTGCTGCCGAAATTTTAGCAATTAGCAATGTAGTTGAATAGGTTATTGTGCTCGCGTCTTACTGCACTAATCCCACGCACTTTACCGCTCGCCTCTTGACCGTCTGGTCCAAAGCAAAGATTTTTCGACTGAAATTGGAAACAGCAGAAAGTTGTCGTTAATACTGCAGCCCGAACATAACACTAAACAGTTATCAAGATAATTGAAAATGATCTTATGAATTATGTGAAACGAAATCTTACTTTATTCAAGAACACCATGAATTAATATTGATCAATTAACACTGCCAATATTAGAATTTATTTCATTGTCTTCGAACAAGTACATAATGTTCTTATTATCTAAAACTTAAATAAAATACTCTTTATGAAACAAAAACAGGTTGTCCAATATATCCCTAGATACAAAATATCCAATACGTCCCTGGATGCTGAATAAAATCCAGGAATACGTGGCTTTATCGGTTATGAAAACTAGCACCTTTTCCTTCGAACTTTCTTCCAATGCTAAACTTGTTCACTTGTAAACAAAATCTAATTCTACACTGCAGTGTTAAAAATTACCAATGTACCACAAACGAGAAATCAAACATTCAATCACTGCACACAGGAACGTCCTAAATTTAATGATTATTCTTGAAGTCCTGACGAAAATTAATTCTAAAAACCTTTATGAGCTGTGTACACAATTTGTATGAACTTTCTATTTTCAGTATTAATACGATGTTGATACATTTGATAAAAGGGTAGGCTAATCCTATTCTGTTCTATTTTCGCGATCTTATACTCCCATGTCCTCATTTGTTAATCAGATCTCTAGAATCGGTGGCAAATAAGAGAGACGAGTGACTTCAAACGATTAAACAACACACATTTCGTTACAAGTAGAGAACATTTCACAGTGGCACAAATTCACAAAAACATTCAAAGGTTGTATGGAATGTTGATTTGATACACTTTCGTTAATGTCAAAACACATTGAGTATCAAAACTCTAGTTCACTTCGCCGTGAGGACACGACAGTGTCTTCGGCCGATGTCTGTCGCTGCTTCAGACGATCTTGCTCCTAAGCTGGTTCATCAGCCGATCCACTTAGAGGACTTTGCGCGACTGCTTAAAGGAGAGTTGGTGGTCCTTTCTTACGACGCAAATTGGATACTCAGTTATCGCAGGTCTGCACGACGCCCTAGAAGAGACGTTGCGAACTCGCCAAAATCGGAAGATGTTGCTTGCGAACTCACGGAAATCGGAGAATGTTGTATTCTGTGGCTGAAAGGACGACTGCACGTTGAAGTACAGTGAAGAACAAAATAGTGACTACTAACGACCTACGTTTGAGAAAATGAACTTCTGTAAGTTTAACGACCGAGTCACATTCTATGAAGCAAAACGAAAAATATTTTCCAAAAGAAATGTACGTCAATTTGTATCCAGCTTGCCTTTGTATACTACATACTTTTTCAACGTAAACCTGAGAATAAAAAAATTTAAATATGCTTAGTTTGAAAACGTCTGCGAGTTCGGATAATGTTGTTTCAAAGGCATATTTCGTTTAAATTATATTTAAAAGACACATTTAAAAGTGCTTTCTCTAGCGAATACCGCGACGTTTTTTATAGGTTTTACATTCATCGATACTGCGTATTCAGGCAAAGTAAGTGACAACCACTTATACGAAAAATGTGCCTTACGAAGAGTTCTAAACACACAACGCTTCAGTCACGCTACTAATTATTGATAATTAATAAACCGAACAGAACCGAAAGGTACTGAATAAGCTTTTTACTACTTCAGTCCAATCGGAAATGTACGACTTCTAGACACACTTTGCGTTTCATTGATAACGTAACGGATGTGGCAGATGGTAAAATGTTGCAACTCAATACTTTCAGCAGTTGAACTAAAGCATAACAAGGAACCGAAACACACCCACTCAACGAACTTTCTGATGTAACATCGTAAAACACAAAAGTGGCGCACAAAAAAACGAAAGACGTAAGGAAGAAGCAAGTTCTTTGTTGTCACACAACCAATTACATCAGAATGAAGAGAGATCACATGCGATAAAAATAATTCACACACATTGATCACATATGTCGCATTTTCACAAAATATATAATACCTTTGGGGTTTTAACTTACCCAGGGCCGTCAAATTTCGTCAAAATCGTGTTTAGCGTCCGCGTGCCAGGTGAACAAAAAATTCGAAGAAACGACGGCAAATTAAAAATTAATAGTCAGTAATCTTCACACACAAACATAACTGATAATCAGAACAGACGGGTTCCTTGCGTATACGATTAACACCCCACTGTTTTAGGGAGGAAAGTAGGTCACCAACGCGAAGATAAAAAACATTTTTCTACCTGGCGGCCGAATTCCCGTCGGAAACTAGGTCAAAATTAAAATATATTCAAAATTAATGATCAGTAACTGCATTATCTGATACTTGTTGCCAAAATATCCATTTATAAGTTCGTCATTGGAATTTTGTCGTATGAGAAGGTAATATGACGATCTTCGCGCTATCGACTTCCACTATGTTTGTATTGTTGGCAATATTTTCAAAAGCAAAATTAAACAATGTTCATTACTTTGTTTACGATATTTATCAAAAATATAATCAATACGAGTTTTTATAACAAATATTCCGGAAACAATAATTTATGGAATTGGTGCGCTACAAACAGTTCAACATTGCACTCGTACTGCTTACTGTTCGGTCTTCGGTGTTCCAATTTCAAAAAATTTCCCTGGAGTTCAACTTCATTCAGCGTCCAAGGTAAAAAACTTTCACATTAGATTCGCCTTTCGTTTCGTAGATTCCTTCGTCTAACTTCACAAATCCGGGTCTATCAAGCGACACAAGCTGAGAGAACGAACAAGTCAAGACACTCCTCACGGAAGATCCAAACTCTTCGCAGACAAACGACGATGCCTTATAAAAGCATCGAAAAAAAAACACATCTGACTACAAAAACAATTTAATTATCCACCATAGAAACCCCGAAATCATTTTAAATTAAAAAATGTTCTTTCAAAACGCGTGACACGCACGTGAAAACTCGTACATCATTGGGACAAATTTCAATCAATTTTCGAAAACTATTCCAACACCTCACTCGCATTGTCACGACTTCACTAAGTCGTGGTCTCCTTACACAAAACACTCGCACAAAATTGGCAACAAAACACTTACATTCAGCAAATAAACAACAATTGATTTCTTAACACTCGCGGTACACACGTCGTCACTCTGTTGTTTCAGAAACAAAAAAAATCTCACTAGCACATTCACCGTCACATTTTCGAGAAATAAAAAAAAATAAAAAAAAACAATCGTACTTACGATAGTACAGGGCCTTCATGGCGGCAGCGGGCCGTATCCGATTCATCGTTTCCTCTCGTAAATTCTGTCCCATTCCCCCATCGCCGGTTCTCCGGCGCGCAACACGAGGTAAGTCAACGCAACACCTCCACGTTCCTGAACAAGAGGGGGAGATCCTTCTGGGACGGCGATCCGCTAAGGACTGGCACACCAAAGGTCTGAGGAAGGTCTTCCCAGGGTGCAGGTAGCAGCAAGAGGGTGCTTTAGGAGGCACTGACCACATCCTTCCCCCTCCCCCCGCGGTTCGTTCGCCGCCCTGCCGACAGAGCGCGCGGGGGGTGGCGGTGGTTCGGAGGCGACCTTCAGAAAGGCCTTCCGCCGTCAAATGAAAACTGGAGGTAGATTGGTGCTCCGAGTTCGTAACTGCATACGTGTTTTGGCTACGGGTAGCTCCGGATGTTGGGTCCGGCGAATCTTTGAGAATAGAACGGGGAACATAAAGTCGAATATTACATTTTCAGAAAAAAAATGTTCTATTTCTCTAGAGACCCATTACAAAAATTCAGTACGTCTGAAAAGTTGCCAAGATCCAAATATTTACTGCCAAAACCTTGATAATCTAATCAATTTTTTATACAAGCCACACATAATGAACGCCAATAAAATGTGAGCGATGTGGTAAAAACGGAAATAAAAATCAATACAGACTATTTATAAATGTTCAGAATCGTTATAAAATGAGTTGCGCACGGAACTATTTTGCAATTGTGTTCAGGTGTTTCATTTTTAATTAAATTAATTTTATTTGTAGGATTTTCTGGCGAGAATTTGTGGCTGTCGTGTATTACTTATCGAGTTAGATAATTATATTACTTTTTCATTTTAAGATTGTGGGTACGGCAAGTAATTAATGTCACATAGTCATGCAGCGAATTTAATAGTTAATAAGTCGATCTGTCCGACCAAATTTAAGAACACGCCCTTTTTGCATTTAGTTAATTTCAAAGATCTTTCATTGATTTTCTACAGAAGGAAATTTACTTAATAGGTTTGTCATTGCATTCATTCACCCAAACAATACACCTCTCTCCCCTTTCCTAGCTTAATTCTTATCCCCACCGATAGAGCGAGCGCAGGAGCTGAAAATAGCACCGCAACGACCTTCAGAAAGAACCCTCAGTATGTATTTGGAAGGGGAACATTTTTTGGTTTAGGAAGCCGGCAAATCTAATTTGTAATTAGCAAGGGGAGTTTTTCCTAGGAGTTCTACTTGTATATTAGATACATTTGCTCTTATTTTCCTACTACTCATTCTTAATAGACTCTGTCATTTTTGCAAAATATTTCCGTATTTGACGTATGTTGATGAGAATCTTTGCAGAGTCTTCAGTGACGTGAAATAAAGTGTATATCGATAAACATGATCACTTTCGTGAAGTGTACAATTCATCATCAATAAATTAACCAAAACGTATCTGCAAAAATAATCTCCCTTTCCATTTTCCTTCATCTCGCTTTCTCGTGACCTTGGCACCACCCGCTGAAATCGTCGGCCGGGCTCCCAGACTCTCTGTCCTTTGTCGGAGCCGAAGTGACCCACACCCTCCCCCTGCCGGCGGACTGACCTCCGCGACAACACCAGGGATTCGCGAGTCCGAAGGGACAATGGCCGGACCAGACTCCCACGCTCCAGAAATGCAGCTTGGGCTTTTGGTCACCTGGTCACTCGACTATAACAGGTCGTCGAGTCCTGCACCTTGGCCAACTCGAAGAATGCAGCCCACTGGGGTTGCAGCTACAATCTCAGCAGGGCATGTTTTGTTTACGTCTCCCAAACAGCTGTACATTTATTTCGTTTCTTTTAGCGTCTTAGATATCATTTTGAATAATAATGAAATAAAAAAATGTATTCATTTTAATCATCATAAGATAAACTTCACGAATTCTTAAAAAAAAACAATGTTACCCATTACATGTGGTACATGAATGATTGATTTCGTTGTTGTTGTCAACATAACTTAGGACATTATTAGTGAAATAAACAGCTTCAATAGGCCGCTGCATGTTTTATTTCCTACTCGTATAATTTACAAATACTCAAATGTGTAATTTTTTACGTCTCCTTGAAAATACTTTAACTAAAGAAATTAAAAGATGTGTTGCATTTCAGTGCAGAAATTTAGATTATTTCTTTTAACTTTCTCGCTCTCAAATTCACGTCAATGAAATAAAGCAAATAAATGATATTCACCTGTAAACTTTCGCTAAAATTTCTCTTTTGTCTATAAAATCTTGCTTTACTCCTTAACATAAATTACATTCATTATGAAGCCTCCAACCGGCGACCGGTGTGCTAAAACTTCGATAGTCCTTAACAGTCGGCGGACTGTTTAAATCCTTAACGGACTCTCGTTAAAATTGTCTTTTCGAAGCTCTTTTTGACGACGTTAAGTCGATAGTATGGCAGTATTATCAAACGATTTGAACGACACACTGCAGAAATCACAGATACCGGTTGGTTATAAACCTCGGCTACCATTCGGTTTACAAAACCTCTACTGCTCTAACCGCCGCCTGATAACGTTAACAACTATATCACTCACCTACCCCGTTATTTATGCAATAGAACTTCTCCGACACCCTCGGCGGTCGCGGTCTTTCCAACGCCCCCGCACGCCATCAAGCGGACGCAGGAACCGGCGCGCGGTGAATACGTGAATACAGGGGCATTGTCGGCCGGGGAAGGGGGTGAGGGCAGCGCTATCCACAGTGTCCTCACCTGCGCGCTTCCATCGCCGTGTGTGTGTGATTTGTTTGTGGTTGTGTGTGTGTGTGTGTGTGTGTGTGTGTGTGTGTGTGTGGGGATCTGCCCCGGGGGCAGGCGAGGGAGCACGTCGCCGTCGGCAGGGGCGTTCGCCCATCCGTCGCCCGCGACAAAACAAGCGCTTTCGCAGGGTTGGCTACTTCGCCAAGCCGCCCCGCCCCCGCCCCCGCCGCCGCGCCGCGGACATCAACCGTAAACTCTCGCGCCTCAGGAGCGACCCGGCACAGTGCCGCGTGCAGGCCAGTTCACGGACAACACTCAGGTGGGAGGATTGGTTGACGTTTCCAGGCACTCAACTGTTCCATTCGTGTAGTGAATGTTTTAACTCCTAGGGTGGCGATGTGCCCCTACCCCCCATTAGTGATGGAGTCCGGTGTGGATCTACTGATAGACTTGAGAAAGATTTTCTGCCTCTGGGTATCTCCCCAGAGCGAGGTACCGCCCTAGCCGGGGCAAACTCCAAACTTCCGACTGGTCTCCTTCGTCATGTATGGTAGCGTAGTGCATACTGTTATAAGTGTGTGTGAGTAAGAGGTGGCGATAAGACAAGGAACAAGAATGAATGTTCTCACGCGACCTGCGACCCGTCTGTTAAGAGTATTGCTCCGGCATTCGTCTGGTACGAGTATTGATCGGAGAATCCACGGAAAACTACACTCAAGGCAACCGCCCGCTGGAAACCTATAATTTGAGAGAGAATAAACCTTGCATGCCTCCACAATGACTTTCGACACTTTTACCACAGTTTCTTCTTACTGTTTGTGTTGTAACGATTACGATGTTCCAGGCCTGCAATTATTTAGCGTCATGGACAAGTACACAACATTTTTAATCTGAGATTTTCTTTCGCAATTTTTGAATGAAAAACTTTCAAAACTTCCAGGGTTAAATTACCAAAATATAACATTAAAAAACGTAAAATTAAACACGAAATATAAATTATGCATTTTATATAGGACAAACACACATTTTTTTTTAATTTTTCTGTTAATCATTGGAAGAAATTGGGTTCCAAATCCATAATTCGAATGATCCAATGTTAAAAATACAGAGTTAACTGAATTATTTAATTTATTCTCAAAAAAAAGAAAAGTTTTTGGTTAATAATTGATTTTCGCCCACGTCCACTGTGTATCTTTTTCTCCTGCTGCTCCACCGCCGCCGCCGCCGCCGCCAGCTATTGTTGCGTCACGCGTCCGGCGCGGCATTGTGAGCGCCCCCGCCCGGCTGGCCGCGCCTGATCGCCTGTTTGATGCCTCCTACGCCCTCCGGCCCCTCCGCCGCCCGCCCGCCGCCCGCCGGCAGCCAGGCAGGCAAGGGGTAGGTAGCCACACCTACGGCCACTTCACGCCACCGCGCACACGACCCCACCGCATCACAGTGGCATGCCGACACTTTTCCTCTTCTTGGTGTTATTACGAAACTAGTCGTATTCAGAATCTTAAAAACGATATTACATTATTCGAAGATCTACTTTGTTTTTGTTTGTTTGTTTTTTTCTAAATTTTAGAAATTTTAAAGCGAATTACAACTATTCGATATTTATAAATCATTTTGCATCAATTCAAGCAACACATTTTTAAAAAATGTAGACATTTTCAAAAGAAACAACAGAAGAAGAAGAAGAAGAAGAAGAAGAAGAAGAAGAAGAAGAAGAAGAAGAAGAAGAAGAAGAAGAAAGAAAAAAGAAATTGAAAATGTCACCGAGGATTCATATAAAGTAAAAATACAAAATAAACTCAGTGGTTTCCCAGAAATATTGCTATATAAACTCCATAACTGTAATACAACAGGAGGGAAAAAAGGATTTTTGTGGAAGATTATTTATTTTTCCTCCCGTTGTATTACAATTAAAAATACAAAGTTTGTACAGAAGATTTATGTGAAGTAAAATAAAAATATATGATTCATACAATTCTATTACAAAAATTTACAATTCATTTCGTTCTGAAATTACATGGTTAATTGAAACTGAAACACCAATTCATTGTTTTCTCTAGCACATGAAGTTATTTTACTAAACGTTTTGCTGCCTTCATCTCAAGACAAAGTGGCTAAAATTCTATTAAATGCACAATCTAAGTCAAAAGCAAACTAAAGGTAAGTGTACTATCAAAAAAATTCCGTTTAATGGAATTTCACCATAAATTCTCATTATTCATAAGTTCTGTAATTATTTTGCTTCCTCCCTACCCCCCCCCCCCCTCCACACACACACACAAGACACACAAAAAACAACAGAAAGGCGGCGAAGGATTTTGAACATGCACATATATGGTCATGCAATTCACGATTATCCATTTTAGCAGAATTTCGGATCGTATATTAATTGACTGAAATTGCCAAGATTGCTATAACTTGTCATAATACTGCCATTTGCTTTTTTCCAAGATTTTTTTTCTAAATAGCAAAACTGTAATTATTATTCCGAAAATTTTCAACATTTTTTCTAACAGGCCAGGCCGTTAACCCCTCAATTTAAAGGTCGTTATAGCCTTAATCGAAAGCAAGCGGTCGGCCGGTGCGAACCGAAGTTGCAAAAGAAGTTTAAAAACCGCACGCAAATCAGAAGGCAAAACCTGTTCGGGAAAGATTTCCGTCTTTCGCCTTGCCGGGAGGAAAACCCGCTTTTCAACCCTCGCCCTTAACATCAAAGACCTGACCTCCCTCTCCTCTCCCCCCCCCCTCCACACTCGACCATATTGTCGGTCCGGTGGACTGGAGTCCCCCTTCTCACTTTGTATTCAAGGCTCCAACTTCTCTGACTTGGGAATGCGAGTTTGTGAATAATGCGAAAACCTGCCTCCTGGCTGAAATCAGTTCATTCATGTGTCGCGATCTAAAATTTGCGAAGGAACTTCTCCAAAAGGAGAAATACCTTTGCTAAACTTGTAAACCAAAAAAAGACGTATTAAAATCAGAGACACACCCATAATTTATTTCTAGTGGAAAAAGGAGGAGAGGGGGTGATTACAGGTATCGTGTCTAGCTGATTTGATGTTTTCTTATTAAGAATTTTTTTGAATTTATACTGAATATAAAATGTACTTTTATTTGTTGACTAGTAGTTCCTATTTATAGTGTAACAATTGATATATTTAATGACTCGTTAATATAGAATATTAGTAAATACTATATTTTTAATATGTATCAGTGGCTTTCGTGGTGGAGGTGGGATCTTTCTGCAACCCGATGAGCCCCCCCGCTTGGTGCGCTACTGATTAAAAATATTGGGTTCAAATTTAGAAAAACATTCTACAGGAGTGTAACAAAACAATGTTATAAAAACGGTTTAAGTGAATTAGTTTACGTAAGTTTATTTTCAGAAAACAAATATTTTGTATGTAATTTAAATTGTATTTCCATGCTCAATACCTAACCATTCCGTTGTACCCGGATTGAATGACTTTGATGGGTGATGATTCATGACAACATGATTTCAATGATAATGGAGCTATGAAAGAATGAGAGGCAGGGATCGAGAAAACCTGCCGCAATCCTTCATTGTCCACTACATATTCTACACAGACCGACAATCTACCTGTTCGGTGCATTCCCTTTCCAGGTATCTCCCCCGTCTCGGCCGGGACAAGCTCTGGGTGTTCCCGACTGCTCTCCCGACGTGTGGGTAGTGTCTTTCATGCAATATTGTGTCTGTGGGTAAAAAGACAAGGTAGAGGTAGGAAAGATCGTAGCGGTACGTGGCCCGTTTTTTAGGGTACTGCTCCGGCAATTTGCCTGATACTGTTCGGAGAAACCACGGAAAATTATCGATTAAAGCAGCTGCCAACTAAAATGTTTCTCCAGACCGCGGCTGAATTCGATTTAGTTATGTAGTTAGTATCGAAAATACGCCACCGTCACCACTGGTCGACTCCTAACGCTACAGCCACCGTCACCATCGCCATCACCTCTTCTCCACCTCCTCCCCGACGCTTTTCCTCATCTCTCCGCCTGCCGCCGCCGCCGTTGTGACCTTTGTGTGCGGACTGAATGGGTTGCAGACGCCTCTGCGATTCTGTC